GCAGGTCTATTAGCTTTCCACTTAATTTAGTTATGATCTTATTTTTGTACTGTCTACCCAAGAGTTGACCCAAGTTACGTTAATGTGTTAAGATTTTACCAGGTAAACTGAGAGCATCCATATGCCTAAGTTCTCATTGACACCTCACTTTGAGCTTATGCATCAGGTGTGTGTGTGTGTGTGTGTGTGTGTGTGTGTGTGTGTGTGTGTCCTTTTCTTCTGCTCTAACAAATTAAATACATTCTTTTGCTGCTTGGAAGCCCTCAGCTTGGATTTGGCAGTCTTGCTGGTCATGACCTACAGATTTGTCCTTCAGTTTCTTTCTTCAAGCTCTTTCCTTTTACTTTTTCTCCTTTTTATTTCTTCTTTGTCAACACATTTCATTTCCATTATTATGCCTCTGTTTTCTCCTTGCTGTCTTTACTTCTCTTTCCTTCCTTCCCTCCCTTCCCTCCCAGACAGTATCATACTTATTTCACATTTCTAACAGTGATAGTTCTGTTTGCTTTGGGTTGGGAAACCCAAGAACATTGCCCTTAAGTAGTGCATTGGCCTTCTGACAGTATTGAATGTTTTAGGACTATTTGTTGACTTGTGGGTTTTCTGTCAACCAACTTCATAATTCCTAGGTGCAAATGAATTTTGCATTTGTAAAAAAGAGGCTCATGGTACCTGTTTGTCACTTTTGCAAAAATAAAGTTAAGTGCTTGAAGAAAGTGAAGCACTTGAGGCAAGCATTTGTGAGAAAAATAAAATTATAATTCCATTGTTACATAAAATGAATGTACTTAGTTTTCTAATATAGTAATGACATTTTTTTATAGCTTGCACAGAAATCCTGGAAAAGTCAATACGTTAGAGAAGCATTTTTTGGTTTTGACATGAAGCTACATACGTAAAGCATTCCCTTTTCATTTAGAATTCCCTAATGCAGTAATGACAAACATAGTACTTCTTAAATTGGAGTTTTAAAATTGGAATCTAGCTTTCCCATGATTGGAACATAACTGAGGACCAACTCTGCTTACTGTAGTTTCTTAGTTACATTTGGCTCACAGCAGATAGCAAAAGAGCATATAATCACTTCATGCAACTTCAGGGTGCAGCAATTAGAAACAGTTGTTAATATATTTTAATGCATAATTTGTCACTCACTATCGATTTATAAAGGACTTTCGAAAAAAATGTATCCTAAACTCCCACTTTGCTGTGTATGAAATGTAAGCTTTTCTCACTTAAACCTGGTCTAAATGGCTTTTTATTTGTACAAGTAAATTTTTTTCTCAATCTAACTTCAAAATAAATTCCAAAGAGGTTAGCATATCTAGTGGGAAAAAAACCTGATTACTCTGCACTTTGTTAATATACTATACATATGAAACAGTGAATGAACAAGTGAGTATTGTAGACTTTCTGGTCATTTATTTAACACATGTTTATTGAAAACTTACACTATACCATCACTATGTTAGGTGTTAAGACATAATATTGACTAAAACCAGACACTTGATCCTTATGGAATTTATAACCTACTGGGAAGAAGACACATTAGATTGTAATCGGATTACAAGTAAAATATTAAACTTAAAATAATGGTCATGATAAGTTCTAGTAGCACTCTTTAAGTGTTTATATAGGCGTATTTTGACCCACTTAAGAAAGCCAGAAAAGATTTTACTGAGAAATGACAGTTGAGCCAAAATCAGAAGGATAAGAAAGAGCATGCCTACCAGAGGAAACAGCAAGTGTAAAGGTTTGGTAATAGGTGGGAGCATGGTGAGGACCAAGGAATAAAAGAAAGCCCATATGCCATCCTAAGATAAATTGGAAACCACCGAAGAGAATAAAGTAAAGGTCTGTCATCAGATCTCTGTGTTAAAAAATGTATTCTAAGTTGTGGATAACTGATTGGAGAGGGGCAAGAATGGATGTAGAGAAACCAGTTAGCAGTAACTCAGCCAGGAGAGCTAGGAGGTCAAGATAGGGGAAAAAGCAGTACAATTTGAGATATAATTAGGAAATAAAATTAACACAACTTGGTAACAGATTCATTGTGAGGGATTTAGAAAAGAGAACTACTTATACCGAGCCCGGGGTTTATAATTGAACAAAAGGATTGTTCTTTTCCATGAAATATGAAACAACGAAAAGAATCCATTTGGGGGTGAAGAACATGAGTTTAAATGTAAGTTGTAGATGAGTTTAAGCATGCTTAAAAGGAACTGTCAAGTAGAGAGTTGAACACTTAGGTCTGGAGCTAAAAGAAATCTGAGCTGAAGGCAGAAATTACTGAGTCACCGTTGTTTAGTTGGCAAATTACAATATACATAGGTAAGATCACTTAGGGCTAACAAGTATATTGTGAAAAGAAGAATTGGTTTAGGATTGTCCTTTGAACTTATGACTGGTTTAAAGTGGATGAGCCTTCAAAGAAGACCAAGGTGGAGTGGCTAGAGATGATGGAGGAAACCCAGGAGAGTATTCTGTTATGGAAAGCAAGGGGAAAGTGTGCCAAGAAGGAGAAAGTGGTCAACAGTGTCAAATGCTTCTGAGACTTCAAGTGAAATGAAGCCTGAAACATTTCCATTGGATTTGAGGGACTTTTAAAAATCATCGGTGTCTTTTGTGACAGCTCTTAGTGGAATAATGGGGATGGAAATCCAGCTGAAATTATGTGATATTCAGAAGTGGAGATAGGGAGTTTGAACCTGTCTGAAAGCTTGGCTCTGAGGCATTTGTAGAGAGAAGGTACTCCTAGTGATCTTCATAGTGAGGATGTTTTGTCTGTCTTGTCTCTAGTGAAAATGAGTCAAGCTTGAATAAAAATTAATAGAAACAAAACAATTAATGGAAACATCCATGTAAGAGATTGACAGAGTTAGAGTAAAGGGACAGTCTACAGTAAAGGTTCTAAGAAGGCAGAAAAGATGAGATCCAAAACACAACTAGAACATTACCATCAGATGCTGTGTAGGGGAATTTCTTACATTGTAACTTTATGAATAGAGGATAATTTGCATTCATGGTGGTAGGTGGTAGAAAGATGATGGATCCCATCTGATGTTCGTCTTCTGTAGGAAATTGGAAAAGAGAGAGGAAGAGGAAGGTCTCTTGTTTAGAGAGCAAAGGTTTAAAATAGTCATTGTGGAAGGAATTAATCAAAAACGTAGGATAGGAGTTAAGAGTATTGGGCCCATTTCAGTTTAGTTGTGATGAATTTAAAGTAGATAGAATGTATTTCCCAGCTATTGGGGTGCTGTGATAAAGAACTCAGGATATTGTTTTCATCCAGGATTAACTAGAGGGATTGCTAAAAGGAGGGATAGGGGAGTTTCAGGTATTCACAAGTGTTGATGATGCATATGACTTGAATAAAAGGAAAGTTTAAAAGAAGAGGACTAATCATGAGAGAAAGTTATAGGGGTCAGTGAACTGGTGGTTACAATGAAGTAAAAAATGGTTGTAGTGGTTAGACTTGACAAAGGAAGTTAATAGACATTGTGGTCTTAGTGTGGAGTATTTGAATTAATGGGTGCTGAGATAGAATAGTTTAGGTCATAACGAGGAAATGAAGAAGTGAGGATATAATAATGGCTAGGTTGTAACATGGACATCTATGTCACCTGGAATGGTGGAAAATGTTAGGGCAGAAATAAATTGTAAGTTGGTTGCCAGTATTTCAAGGTGAGTTGTATTGAGGGTAAGAGAATAGCCAAATGCAAGAGCCTTGAAGAGACAGGATCATGTTGATATTGTTATTTCAGTAAGGAGAATTTGAGGGATTGTATATGCCAGGCATTCTTTCAAGGCCCAGAAGGCATCATGTAAGTCCCACAAGGCCCCCGTCCTCTTGGGAGTGCCCAGAGCATTGAAAATGATGGCCACTTGGGGCTCCAGGGTGGCTCAGTCGGTTAAGCATCCGACTTCGGCCCAGGTCATGATCTCACAGTTTATGAGTGAGCCCTGCGTCCTCTGTGCTGACAGCTCAGAGCCTGGAGCCTGCTTTGGATTCTGTGTCTCATTCTCTCTCTGCCGCTTCCCCACTTGTGCTCTGTTTCTCTCTCTCTTTCAAAAATAAATAAACGTTAAAATTAAAAAAAAAAAGATCATGTGAATAGAGACAGTTCACTGAAATAGATGCTGCCTACAAAGTTTACTAGGGATGCAAATGTCAGACGGGTTATCTCTATCTGAAGAAGTCATTGGAAATTTTCTCAGGAAAGATTTTATCTGAACTGAATTTTATTTAGTTCTTAAAGTGGAGAAGGGAAGAAGGGCATTATAAGGAATGATATATGACTCCTAATAATGATAGACGAAATACAAACTCAGAATGATAGCATCGTGTTGTACTAAGTACTGTTATAACATGTAGTTCTTCATTATTAGAATATTTCCATTTCTTGGCTGATCTTTCTGTTGTTTCATTCTTAGAGTTCAACACTCCTCTCTAATAGGATGATTTAAAGCATCTGTCAGTGTGCGTGCATGTGCGCATGCCCCTTGTGTTTTTCACATCTCTTTTAAAGTTATGCTTGAAATTTGTTACTGGAAACAAATGCAAGGGATGCTGCATAAATAAGGAAAATGTTACCACTTTCACACGTTTGTTTTTGGTAATATGAACACTCAGTAAATTAAATTCCTACCAGTATAGGTGAAGCTCTGTTTTAAACCCAAGGGTACCAAGATGAATATGACGCTCTCCCATCTCAGGGAGCTCAAAACACAAGTGCAGTATTAAAATACTAATCACCGAGAATGCTGTGACTTTTTAAAAAATTGTAACTGATTTCTCTTAAGTCCTCAGACACATTTTTAGAATGTTGATTTATTGCTTCAGTGTTGATGGAACAAGTTGGATTTCATCTAACTGTAACTGTGGTTAAAAATTCAGTTAGAGTGACTAGACGTAATCTCTAATATTAAGATTCAAAATAAAGTGTGTTTCTCCTTGAATGAAGAGAATACCTTTCTAATTTTGGTTTCATTCCTCAAAGGTTGTGAAGATGAGAAAAGACGTGAAGAGAATCCGAGTGCTGGTTATCCGAAAACTTGTCAGAAGCGTTGGCAGACTCAAGTCAAAAAAGTTAGTCATTTGAAGTCATGGTCCTATGACTAATGAAATGTCAGAAGTTGTTTTTATTCAATATTTACAAAATCTGAGGGTGGGACCTGGAGGAATAATTAAGTATCTTACTCATGCAGCACTTTTTTTTATATGGAGAGGGGGTCTGAGTGGGGTACAGTCTGAGTGGGATATGTCAGCACATCCTCACGTGGTCTGGGCCACGTTTGTTTAAGATACATGATGAATTCTGCTGTTCTTGTAGAGCTCTCATTTTGGAAGCCTTTGCAGAGTGAAAGTCCTTCAGAGTTACTTATGTGTTTTATGTTATTAGAAGTTATTTTAAGATGTTTGATGTTGTTTAATAAATCTGGTAATACCTTGAATCAGTAATAAAAATTTTATAGCACTTTATCCATTGAATTGCTACGTAAGTTGAAATCTTTAGAACCTTGTGGAAGTCTTTATCAAAGCATTGTTTTCCATCAATTTTTTAATATTTTGAAACCTCATTGTCACTGATATTAAAGTAAATGTGTTACTTGCAGTTTTTACTCATTAAGCATGAATAGTCTTCAGATATTTTGCTCCTGCTTAATTTCTTGTTCTTTCTATCATAAATAACCTTTTTCTCTGATATAGTCAGGTATTTCTCTTTCTGTATTCCTTTAATTGCAGAGAATAAAATTTTGTTGAATAAAATTGTATCCAAACTTTAATGGTAGCTCATTAGCCTATGTTACGTTAAATGCAGTGTGCTGTTAATCATTTGATTAAAAAATATTATTTCGCCTTTCCTTTAAGGAGTTAAAAGGCGTACTGTCTCTCAGTAGTAATAGTCATTAATATAATGCCAGATAATGCTTATAATTTGCCAAAAACTTGGGTTTGTTGATGGAATCGGGGTATGTGTTAAGCAGTGGATGTGCAGGACAATGCAGGATAATAGTGCTTGTTATTTAAAGACTTTTTGTGCTCTTCTAGAAAAAATGAAGACTTATTATGATGTGAGTCTAAAATAAATGCTTTTCCTGGCTGTACATTTTCATGTAATTTTTACAGGGGTACTGAAGATGCACTCTTAAAAAACCAGAGACGGGCACAACGATTGCTTGAAGAAATTCATGCAATGAAGGTCAGGCCTTGTGTGAGTGTGAATATACATGTGTGTTTCCATGTCTCCTCTCAGCCTACCGTGTGTGTGTGTGTGTGTGTGTGTGTGTGTGTGTGTGTGTGTGTTGTTATTTGAATGTTATTGCTGTTTGAGACTTATTTTTATGGGTCTGTTTGCTGAAGAATGTAGCACATTTAGAAAATTGTATGTTTAAGCTTACATTTTTCCATGTTTTTTACTGAAGTTGTTAAAGCATTAGAATAATTTGCATCGAAACTCTGCCAAACTAAACTCATCTATGTTTAATAATGCCTCATGCCTAAGATTTTTATTTTTACCCAAACTACACACATCAAGTCCACGTAAAGTTCTAGAATTAAAGCGTTTATGCTGTTCGGTAATGCGGATGGTGATGTTGGTGGCTGACATCATGCTTTGCCTATTGCCAATTCAATAAATTTTTGTGTGGTGGTGTCAGCATTTTATTCAGCTCTGTAGTAACTTGAAATAAAATTAGTGTTGGACCAAAATGATCCGTATTTTTGTTTCTTTCAGCCAGACTCTTCACTAGCATAATTTTTAGGTCTTCTCACTGCTCTTACTTTGTGGAAACTTTCATTTACCAAATGACATACTATTAAATGTCTGGGAGACTGTTTTATTGCAGAACTTAAAAACAACATTTGGTACCAGCAATTATCTTAATTGCAGGGTCATTTTGCATGTATGTTTGACTATTACGTTTTGGTGTATCTTCCAAGTTTTGAGATAGATAGAAGAGCAAGAGATTTCTCTAACAGTATTCTAATTGAGTTAGGTCATCAAAGCTTCTCACCATTTTTTCCTTTTGAAGGGATTGTAAAGTGTTTTATAACAAAGTTACCACAGTTAATCTGACTAGAAATAAAGGTAGGACATGATTCTCCTTTAGTGTGAATTATGTTTTTTATGGGGTAATTTTATTTATGTTCACAGGTCTACAAAAATCATGGAATTCATTTGATACATCTTTCCTTTCTCGTAGTTTTAATCCCCGTTTTATCAAGACGTTCAGTCAAAATATTCTGTATGTGACTCCTAATTATTGTTTGTCTGACTATGGATTACACATCACGTAGGCCTTTCCATAGACCTTTTTTTTTTTTTTCTATGAAATTCCTATGAGAAATAAAATCTTTGGAGATTTTTGTTTTGATTGTAACACTGAGATAGGAAATTATGATTTATCCCTTTTTCTCTTTCACTTTCTCTTAACCAAGGTCCTTACTACATTACATTCCTTACCTAAATTTTTCCCTGTAATTTCTTCCAAATAGTCATTTTTGCAGTCCTAGATTATTGAGATGCTTTGAACTACTGTATAACTGCTGATTTTATTTTACCCTGGAGAGGATGTTTTGTATACAATAAGCCTATATGTGGTGTATGAAGTTTGAGATTAAAATATATTCATTAATTTTCCCTTCTGTAGGTCTCAATGATAAATTTAGTTTAGTTAATTAAAAAGAAAAGGCCTATTTGGTCTGCATGTGAAAGTTGTTTTCTGTTATTCTTAAACCTTATCAGCAATAGGAAATCAGGCCCAGTGATAATTAAAGTTTATAGGTTTACAGAATTGCTGTGTCATGACCTTGTGTGTTTGTTTTCCTAGATTATATAAGACTGCTATGAAATTGTTGCCTCATAGAAAGCTAAAAGTTATCACCTGTATGTTCTTTGTATTTGTAAAATTAATAGTGTATATATTCTTTGAATTCCTGGTTCTAGTGGTCTAGATTGGTTACTCTGACATCAACTTCTTTCATAATGCTGCTTAAAAACTGGATTACATTTAAATTTAAAAAACAGACTAAAAAGTGTACTAGAAAGACCGTATGCTTTCCTTACATTTGAAATTTTATTTCTCGCTCTGGATTCTTTTACACAATCAGTGTACTTTTCTAAAAGAAGCAAATCGTAGAGGACTGTTGAAAATTGAAAGGTCATCTGTGATTTCTTAAGGAAATGTTCATCATCTACATGGGAGTATCAAAGAAATAGTTACAAAACAGAAAACTTACAGTCTCAATTAAATTTGGAGAAAAACCTCTACATAATAGTTTTCCCAGATGAATTTTTTCTTTAGCTCCTATACCACTACATTTTTATAGACTTGTTCATGACATATCGTCCTATACTTGCCTTCTATGATAATAGGGTATTTTGTTGCAAGCTGACTTCCTCAAGAAGAAAACCTGAGATATTTTTAGAAATGGGAGTTTGCGATTTCTGGCCAAGGGGAAAAAAAAAAAAAAAAAGGCCTGATCTTTATGTTACTTTAAAATCATAGGTTCTAATTTTATAGACTGTAATGTATGAATACCAGGTCTTTGCTGTCTTTGCTAATAGTATTCATACTTTTAAAACTTTGATGTAAGTACTGTCTTCTGAAACAGTTCCTTTTTCTTTGGAAGTTAAAGTAGCTTATTAACTTTTACAGATTCTTGTTAGCTAGCCAGAGAAGGAGATAGTAAAATTAAGACATAACATGCAGCCAACCAAAATGCTCAAGGAATTCCTTCTTAAGTAATAAAGGTAATGACTGGCTTTTACTGAGCATTTAGTATGTGCCAGGTACTGTATTGTGTATTTTATATTCATGATTTAATGAAGTTGACATGATTATTGTCTCAGTCTTACAGAATACAAAACTGAGGCTTAGAGAAATTAAGCAGGTTGACCAAGGTCACACAGCTATTAGGGGATGGGCTTCATAACTATTTTGAAGTGAATGGAGGTAGCTACTTGATGGTGCTGCCTCAGTAAGATAAGAATTTCCTGAAATACATCTAGATTCTGCTCTCCCAGATGGGATAATATAATAAACATGGTCGCTGTCCTCTAGAGGATTAAGGCCCAAAGACGTGCAACATGTTTTCCCTTTCCTTGATTCCTCCCAGCTAAATATGTTCAGTTACCTGTGTCTGCATGTCTTTTCTTACTTGTTCCTCGCTGAGGCTGTTACTCTTCCCTGTGCCAAGTATTCCTGGACACTGAGAACTTGCACGTTCTAGGAGACCTTATCCGGCCTGCTGCCCTTACTTCTCTGTTTTAAAACTTCCTAATTTTGTTTCATCCCCTATTTTTTACATGTTCAGGGCTCTTACTCAAAGCAGCCTTTGAGCTGGCATCAGCTGTTAGGATCGCCTTGTCTCATGCTCCTTCATAGCCTGTTTCTAAGTGGTTGTCATTGTGGACCACAGATAGGAAAAATGGTGTAGATTATGATAATATTTATGTCCTATCATTTGAATTTCACCGCAACTCTGTAAATTAGGCATATTCGTATTTCAAAAGACATGTTGAGAAGAGTTCTGGGCTACATACACCCACTCAATTACAGGCTTATCATCATATATTTTCATGTGTTAAAATTTTGTGATATTTCTGGTTATATTTGCTTTTTAAAAATTGGTGGAGAAATCTCATATACTTAGGTTTTAGTTAAAGTTTTTCTTCTGTGAATGCTTAAAAAGAAATTTTGCCATAGGATAAAAGATGCCTTATGTTTCCTGTAAGTATACTGTGTTAACTGTTTTTATCAAATCAATAGAACAGTTCACTTATTCTAACGTTTTAGTTTTTATTTAAATTCGTCTTAGATCATAATTATTTTTGATGGTTTCATCTTTTGCTTATAAGCCAGTACAAAGAATCAATCAGACACATATTAAAGATCTTACCAACCGGGGCGCCTGGGTGGCGCAGTCGGTTAAGCGTCCGACTTCAGCCAGGTCACTATCTCGCGGTCCGTGAGTTCGAGCCCCGCGTCGGGCTCTGGGCTGATGGCTCAGAGCCTGGAGCCTGTTTCCGATTCTGTGTCTCCCTCTCTCTCTGCCCCTCCCCCGTTCATGCTCTCTCTCTCTCTGTCCCAAAAATAA